CAGGACCGGATATGTTTGGGAACGGCCCATTGTGAACATATCCTCGCCTTTTTCTTTGCATGGGCCAGTCTTTAAGTGCTTAGTCAACAAATCAGAGAGGCTTCAACATGAAAGGATCGGAATGAACTAATCATCAAACAGCTGTTTTAATGTGGTTTAACAGAACTCTTCAATTCAATCAAATCAGTTTCTATAAAGTAATTAGCCTAGCCTTTGACAAGCAAAACATCATCGAAGCTCATTGGCTTTTTTATCCTTAATAACAGGGTAGACAGATTTAGTTTTCCGTGTTAGCAAATTCATATGGGGGATTACGAGGTACCTTTAGTCATCTCTACTAAAATAACGTCTGAGTTTGAGCCAAAATTCCGTAAACTGATGACGTAACACTGACAGTGATTGATGTGTAGCAGCTCCGATGGGCTGTATATTACTCGGTTTTCTAACTGAGTAATAACCAGTCATAGACTTGAGCGTGTCATCATTGTAATGACAGGTTTTAGAAAAAGGTTATTTAATTAGGAATAAACAAAATGCGAGCAGTTACCGAGCTTTTACATGCGAAACTGACAACCAACTGCATACATTACCTAGCTTTACATAGTAGTATTTATAAGCAGCGGACATGTACACGTGCACATGAACGAATAAAGGTCGGCACACATGTTGGAACATGTTGCACGGACGCGAAGCGGAGACAAGTCCCTTCGTCTGCACGCATAGGATGCATGTTGCAGGGATAGTACGCAAGTTGGTGCACACAAGGAGGATTGAGGAATAAAAATTTCTTGTGGCGGGGACTGTTTGCAAGGACAGTGCACACCATGCGACATTGAAAACTGAGGTCATTTTGGCCCTGCTTCATGACGCACGAATTTAAACCAGTTGAATTTCATGCAACATGTTGAGGGGACTAAAAGTTGTGCCAGCAACACAACTTTTTGGCAAAACGTCCCCGCGACATGTCCCCTAGTAACTCCTAATATGCGCCAGCTCCAACAAACGCTACCAGTAACTGATAAATACGCTACTAATGATATAACAGCTACTAACAATATTGTTATACGAGCATGCACAGAGGCGTAGCCAGGAATTTTCAAAGGGGGGGTCACACTGTATCAAAGTGAGGGTACTCACCAGATTGTTATGTCGACCTCCTCCGTTTTTCCCACATGTTGTAGTTTGTTT